TGCTGTTTCCTGCAGTCTGATCATACTGTGAATGGTCTGCATTACTTCTTAACCTTGTCAACACAGTAAGAAGGACAGCAATTAATGTGCTGAATGAGGTAAATGAGAACTAGGATAAGGGTTAGTTTTGTCTTTAGTTTTGTCTTTGTACATCAGGGGGTTTATTTGCAAAACAAAGTCAGTTTTGTTTTTGACCTGAAAAAAAAAAAAATTGAAAGCACAAACCATTTTCAAGGTCATTTACTGTACTTCAAAACGATTCCTTTCGGTGTTGCAGAAATCACAGTAATTCATAAGAAGTGATCTTTGTTAACATATGTTTAGACTTTCCAAGTATCCTCCTCAATTAGTTCAGTAGGTTATTTAAGATTTAGCAAATCAAGACAATTAGTTTCTTAGCGGTAATTACTAATTCTGTGCAATAGTTTTATATGTACATGTGATACACTATTTCTGTGATGAAATATGTTCCTGGCTTTTTATCAGTGGCATGTGTAGTCATAAGTTGAACAATAAAGAAAAAATTGAGTTGTGCATGAAAGAATAATGGCAAAACCATATCTAGTGGATGGCGTACAGAGCGTGACACAAAATGAAAAATATATCTGTGTCAAATATATTTTTTAAAATATTATGTTAAATCACTATTCTGATTAATTATAGGATTAAATTTAAGTACATATTGTTTGAAAATAAAATTTAAATTATCAAAACATAATTGTCAAACCAAAACTTTTTAAATCCCCGAGTTTGGTGGTTACTGTAAAACACCATATACTCTGATAAAATGATGTATATTATAACAATTTAGAATTGGAATAGTATAGTATTTATTTAAGTAATATAATATTTATGGTATAAAAGAAAAATTTTACCGTATGGTCCATATCCTGGTTTTTTTTTTGTCTATGTATCTGTATATTGGTTGTGGGATTTAACTCCCTTTTGCATGTTGGGTATTGTTTACATTTTAAATTAAAAAAACAAAGCAATGGGTAAGTGCTTGATAACTAAGCAAACAGGAAATTGGCAGCAAACACTGAGAAAGGGGACTCCCTCAAACACCACAAAAAAGGGGTTATACAACAAAGAAACAAGAAACAGGTTGTGCTTGGTGGAAACTAATTATAGCAGTAAACCAAATAGTGCAAGCAGTAATATTACTAATATAGTCCTGGGTATATTTATCTTGTTGTTTGGAGAAGAAAGTCTGTATGTGTGAAGAAAACCAAATAAGAGAGAAAATTCAAAATTGAAATATATCTTGATAGGTAAGATACACACAATATATAATGTGATTTTTGACTCACATGAAAGGACTTTGCTTAGGACCAGCTCCAGTGTGTATATAACGTGCAATGGTACAAATCCCCATTGATGGATATAGCAGCATCTTGATAACGTTATAACAGTGGAGTAATGGCCATAAAAATAAAATAAAAAACAAGAGCTTAAACTATAAAGGAATTAAGAAACAGCACAGTTCTCTCACAGGCAAAGGTTCTAGATGTCGCAACAACATTAAGTCTGAAAAAAGGAAAAGTAGACAATAAAACAGTAATTCAGGCTCAAGCATGATTATCCAAGGGTATCAACATCAAAGCAAAGTCAATACTGTAGCATGATCCAAATGAAAAAACATTGATTTCAAATTGGCCTAATCTATAAAATAATAAATTGTTGTGTAATGAACAGCCAACTGGTGAAACTGGAAACAAGTTCCTGATTAAAGATCAATACAAAACTGAACATTCTTTAAAGAAGGAATAGTTAACATGAAGCTGGGATATTGAGTCCCAGCTAAAATAACCTTGATTTGATCTTGGGGGAAGGAGGATTCAAAAATATGAAAAACTTGAAAGCCTAAAGATGTGTTTTAATAGAGTAAATATTATCCTATTGCACTCAGTTTATTGTTATCCCTCTTTATTAGAATTTCACATGCCCTGCTTTAAAAAGTGATGGTTTAAAAATAAAATAGTCTCGATCATTCCTAATAACTTATTCATTGATACACTTTTACTAAAAATATTTCCTGTACAGTTCAGAAACTATTATTTGTTTCTAACTTGCAGCAATCATTGGAGACCAATTGTTTTTCACTATTTTCATCATTATTGTTCTTTATTTTTTGACCCTCAGGTGTGTACATATATTTACTTCACTATAGATAGATAGAATACTTTACATCATGCAACCAAAGGTGATTCGTATAATTCATTTCTATATTATTTACTAGTCTCCTGTCAAGTTTGTTCAAAATTATGTTATTGAAAAGTTGCCTATAGCCTTAATCTTGTCTTCTGTCTGCTGCTATTCCCATTAGATACCTGTTGATTGAACATTTTACCTTTATCATCCATACAAGAACACAAGTGCTGTAGGTTATTTTTTTCTGAAGTTAATTTGTAGTGCAGGATATTTTACATTCCTAACACAATGTTTGAGTCTTGAGCACCAAAACTTTGTTAGCCAACACCTTGAAATAGCAAATTCTCTTTTATATACCATTTGTTAACTATTCACTATTCATATGTCCAGTTTTGTAAGTTGTTTAATTTAGAGTATGAAAAAGAGAGAAGAAAAGAAGAAAGATTGTACATATATATTTAAACAACACCTGCATGGGGAAAAAAAAGATGACTCGGCATTTTTTATAATTATTTTGTTCTTTTTCAGAATATCTCAAAATTGGAAATCTTTGATTTGTCAAAAGGTCTGTACAGCCAGTTACATTTACTTTAAGATTTATCTTGCTGAACTAGCACACACATTTTACAAATGTATAGTATAAGTACAAAAAAAGTCTACTGTTGATCTGTTTAGCTAGGGACACTATAGTCAGCAAAACAACTTTAGCCTAATGACGCAGTTTTGTTGCTTAGCTCATGCCCCTGCAGCCTCATTACTTGATTCTCTGTCATTTAGAAGTTGAATCACTTTGCATATGCAGCCATAGGCACAACTCCCTGAATGAGACTTACACATCCTTCCTAAACACTTCCTGTAAAGAATCATCTAATGTTTACACTTCCTTTATTGGAAATTATATTTAACATTAACATGTCTTATCTCCTGCTCTGTTAATTTTTAGCTAGACCGTGCAAGAGTCTCCTGTGTGTGATTAAAGTTCAATTTACAAAACAGGAGATAAAAATGTTTAAATTAAGTCACATCTGATTGAAAATGAAACCATTTTTTTGCATGCAGGCTATGTCAGTCACTTCCAGTGGGGGTGTGGCTAGGGCTGCATAAACAGAAACAAAAGTGATTTAACTCCTAAATGGCAGAGAATTGAGAAGTAAGACTTCAGAGGCATAATCTATACACAAAATCTGCTTCATTAAGCTAAAGTTGTTTTGGTGACTATGGTGTCCCTTTAACATAATAAAATTAATTATCAAAATCTGGTTAAAGGTCACTTCCTGAGTGCACTCAGCATGTCATTTGGCTTTTTACTCTTTGCAACTTAATTGATGGCTGAGATGAGTTATCAGTCAAGTTATGAGTAGCGAGCTGTGAAAAAGAAGAAAACAGTTAAACAACTGGTTAAGTTATTTAATATCTCAACAGAGTCTTACATAGCAATCGAGTACACTTAAAGGAAACTACTCTTCACATGACCTTAGCAACTATATCAAAAGAGGACTCTGAAATTAATACAATTATCTATTACCATATTTATTTATTTTTATAAAACAATGCATGCTACATACATTTTGCACCATTAAATCTTGTTATGGATATTTTTGGATTATTGATCATGGCCAATTGTACATATATTTTTAAATGTTTAACTAAAAGATTTAAGGCATAGACAGATGCTAAAATGTCCCCATTCTAAAACAAATGAATGAGTTAGAATTGTAAGACACAGTATCTCACAAATTGAGTACACCCCTCACATTTTTGTAAATATGTTATATCTTTTGATGTGATAACACTGAAGAAATTACACTCTGCTACAGTGTAAAGTAGTAAGTGTACAGCCTGTATAACAGTGTAAATTTGCTGTCCCCTCAAAATAACTCAACACACAGCCATTAATGTCTACACAGTTGGCAACAAATGTGAGTACAACCTTAAGTGGAAATGTCCAAATTGGGCCCAATTAGCCGTTTTCCCTCCCCGGTGTCATGTGACTCGTTAGTGTTACAAGATCTCAGGTGTGAATGGGGAGCAGGTGTGTTAAATTTGGTGTTATCGCTCTCACACTCTCTCATACTGGTCACTGAAAGTTTAACATGGCACCGCATAGTAAAGAACTCTCTGAGGATCTGAAAAAAAGAATTATTGACCTACATAAAGATGGCCTAGGCTATAAGAAGATTGCCAAGACCCTGAAACTGAGCTGCAGCACGGTGGGCAAGAATATATAGCGGTTTCACAGGACAGGTTCCACTTAGAACAGGCCTCGCCATGATCGACTAAAGAAGTTGAATGCACGTGCTCAGACCATACACCACACTGCATCAAATTGGTCTGCATGACTGTCATCCCAGAAGGAAGCCTCTTTTAAAGATGATGCACAAGAAAGGCCGCAAACAGTTTGCTGAAGACAAGCAGACTAAGGACATGGATTACTGGAACCGTGTCCTGTGGTCTGACGAGACCAAGATAAACTTATTTGGTTCAGATGGTGTTAAGTGATTGTGGCGGCAACCTGGTGAGGAGTACAAAGACAAGTGTGTCTTTCCTACAGTCAAGCATGGTGGGTGGTAGGAGTGTCACGGTCTGGGCCTGCATGAGTGCTGCCGGCACTGGGGAGCTACAGTTCATTGAGGGAACCATGAATGCCAACGTGTACTGTGACATACTGAAGCAGGGCATAATCCCCTCCCTTCGGAGACTGGGCCGCAGGGAAGTATTCCAACATGATAACGACCCCAAACACACCTCCAAGATGCCCACTGCCTTGTTAAAGAAGCTAAAGGTAAAGGTGATGGATTGGCCAATCATGTCTCCAAACCTGAACCCTATAGAGCATCTGTGGGGCATCCTCAAATGGAAAATGGCACCCCGCCATTTTGGGTGCGCCATTTCGATGCGGTGTTCAGGTCTTGTAGCGGGTGGTCCACTTTCACCTTCCCTTTTTGGTTTCTTGTTGAGCCCGCCTTGATGTTCTCCGCCAGGATTGGTGGCGAGATTGGGTCTCCTGTGGTCCCTGTGGTGCCAGCGCTGTGGGTGATGTGCCCTGGGTCGCCGCCAGTACATGAGGTAGGCCCTGATTGTTCTGGGCGCTTTGGGCATCTTGTTGCTTGAGCTTGTCCCAGTGGGGACCGGGTTGACCCCCCTGGCCCAGACACTTGATATCGACATGTGGCAGCCGGATAGGTAGTTATGGTGGCAGCCATCCACCCTGCTCCTCTCCTGGGTAGGCCGCAGCCTCCGAAGCCTAGTACTGCCTCCAGGGGGTCCGAGTCTCCCGATCTTGGGGTCTTCTGTCTCCGCCACAGTCGTATGGATATTTTGCAGGTAGTCTGAGGGTCAGTAGTTTTCAAGCGTCGTCTGAGAGGCTGGTTTTCTCTGGAGCCTCTCCAGCATGCGACCGGACAGCATGGTGGTCCAGCTCCGCCCCCTACAATGATGTTGTTTATACAGATTTTAGCCCGCCTTATCTTAATTCTATTTGTCAGCATTTTATCTGCCTTTTCTTCCTCTTTAATAGTAATGGGATTTTAATGTTTCTATGTTTTTATCAGCCCTGTTGAATAGTTGTTCATTTATTTTCAACCTCTTTAATTTTGTCTGTTGTCTCTTTAGTAGGAGATTGTTTGTTTATTTTCGTGATAGAATTGTGCAAATTTTACATATAGTTGTGTGAGGTTCGGGCCTATTTTCTTATTAATTTGTGCATTTAGTTTAATCAAATGTCCTCTAATAACACATTTGAAGGCACACCATTTCAAATCTGGGGTTATTTCCGGATCTAGATTTTCTTCAAAATATTGAGTAATCATCTCAGCGATGTATTTCCTATTCTCCTCAGGTTTGAGAAGCCAGGCCTGAAACCTCCAATCTGGTCTTTGTCTTTGGTACTGATCCCTTACATCACAGCATTGTGGTCGGACCATGGAATAGATATTATCTTAGATATTTTTGTTATTTTCATTGTGTCTATATCCCCCAATACAAAGTCTATTCTGGAATAAGTATAATACGATTTGGAGAAACAAGTACAGTTGCAAGAAAAAGTATGTGAACCCTTTGGAATGATATGGATTTCTGCAAAAATTGGTCATAAAATGTGATCTGATTATCATCTAAGTTACAACAATAGACAATCACAGTCTGCTTAAACTAATAACACACAAAGAATGAAATGTTGCCATGTTTTTATTGAACACACTATGAAAACATTCACAGTGCAGGTGGAAAAAGTATGTGAACCCCTAGACTAATGAAATCTCCAAGAGCTTAGATGATGATCAGATCACATTTTATGACCAATTTGTGCAGAAATCCATATCATTCCAAAGGGTTCAAGGGTTCACATACTTTTTCTTGCAACTGTATAATGTTTTTCTTTGGGGTGCATAGTCCTCCAAATATCTAGTAGGGATCCCCTCCTTATTATCTGTGATAATCTCGCTGCTTGTATTACCGTGGTTCTGTCTATTTTCTGCCCCCCGTCCTCCCCCTACCACTTAGTTTTTTTTGCCTGGAACAGGATCTTGGATGGAGTTAAAATCACGTGTAATCACCAACCTGCCTTATCTAAACCTTTCAACTCTTTGAATAAATGTATCTATTTATTTTAGCATGGCTTGGTTGGGTGCATATATGTTAGCTATTGTGTATATCATATTTTGTATTTCACATATTACATTTATCCATCTACCTTATTTATCTATATCTTGGAATTGAATGATTGGGTTTATATCCTTAGAGAATAGTATAGCTACTCCTCTTTTTTTTATTTGTTAGCGAGGATTTAATTATCACTGGAAAAAGTTTTTTAAGAAAATATTGTCTTGTAGTCTCCAGTGGGTTTCTTGTATACATGCAATTTGTATATTATTTTTTATTAGAAAGTCACAGAGTATTGTCCTTTTTTGCTGATAGTTGAGACCCTGAGCGTTAATAGATATTAATTTCGCCATTATTTTCTTTCCTACCAGTATTTTATATTCTTGGATCTGAGTTCTATTGTACTATCTGCAAAGGACTTCCTTTTCTGTCTAGTATTCCATGACAGGGCCTGGTAGACCTTTAGCGCTTCATACTCTCCTGAAAGATTGATCTTTTTCAGTGATCTCAGGATCTATAACTTGAGTTTAAAAAAAGGAACAAACAACCAATATATCTCTTGGGAGGTGGTCTGGTACGCCTTTTGGTTTGTTAACTCGGTGACACCGTTCCATCATAGGGCCATCATAGGGCTTTTGATATCCCATTCCACTTTCATATATTTAAAAAAATCTTCTATATATGTTTCCAATTCTGTTGTATTTATTTGTTCTGACACACCTCTAATTCTTAGGTTGTTCCTCCTTGATCTGTCCTACAGATCTATAATTTTATTTTCCAGATCCTCTATTTTTCTTTTCAGAATGACATTTTCTTCTTGGTGGAAGTTTCTCACATGTTCGATCATCTTTAGTTTTTCTTCAATACTTTGAATCTTTGGGGTTAATAAGGAAAGTTCTCTCTTGATGTCATGTGTGTTTGCTTGCATTTCCACATTAATTTTCTCAACTTGTGTGTCTAGATGACTGAGTAATCATTCATATAGGTTTTCTTCTCCTTTTCTCTCCCTTCATTCTGCCCTATTTCCCCCTTTTCCAGTATTTTTTTCTTTTTCCCTTTTTTTCTTTTATTTTCAGGGGTTTCTTATAGTACTTTTTGGTACTCTTAACATAGTCTCTTCTCTTTTTTCCTTTCCTTTTTTACCCTTCTGGTCAGGGGTTCATACACTCTTTCCTGTCTTGTTTTTCTCCCCCCCCCCCTTCTTCTTATCCTTTATTGTATTCCTCCTTTTGTTTCCTTTCTACTTCTCCTTTTTCCCTCTCTGCCACTTCACTGCCTCAGATTTCTTTAACCCCTTAAGGACCAAACGTCTGGAATGAAAGGGAATCGTGACATGTCATGTGTCCTTAAGGGGTTAAGGTTGCAGTCCCTTTCCTGTATATTACCAGTATTAGAATAGTTTTAGGAGGAATAACACTACGGGAGGTAACAGGAGAGAAAAAAACTAAAAAAAAAATAGAATAAACCCAAAAAACTAAGTAATACCCAACAGGAAAAAAACAGAGAAGATCTCTATTTAATAAATTTGCCCCCTCTCCCCAACCGTTATTAACCAGCTAAAGCCTCATATTATATAATTTATTGAGATGGTTGCAAGAGGAGGGAGAGGCATAAAGCAAAAAAAAAAAAAAAAAAGCAAAGCTTCAACAAACAGGAAAAGACAGAGACTATTGTTTAGGAGATTTATCCCTGTCCCTTTAGCCTTAAGTGCTAATTTGCCAGCTTCCATTACATCAACTATACACTTAGCTTTAGACTGGCTTCAGTATTTCTCCAGTGTATCTTGTCCATGCATCATGAGCTCCATGCATCAGTATTCTTTTTTGTTTTCCTGGGCTGCCTATCGTCTTGCTCCCTAGGTGCACGGCTGTATTCAGGCAGGACCACTCACTCGAAGAATATGCCATCCTTTCCCCTCACCCAGCCCTGGGCAAGCTGCCAGCATCAGTTACACCTTCTCCTCAACTCGATCGTTCCCCACCCACACTCTACGAGGATGCCGGCTAGATGCGCCTACGTCATCGCTCCTCCCCCCGTTTTTTTAAATTTATTTTTAATAAATTATTAATTATTTTTATAATAATATGTTTACACAATATATATAGTTATTATATATATATATATATATATATATATATATGTTTAATTTGACTCTGTATTTTTATATTAATATATGTATATATTAATAAAAAATAAACTTAGTATGACGTTATATATAAGATATAGATATATAGATATAGATATAGATATATAATATATATATGTGTATATATATATATATATATCATATTGTAACCCCAGCTGATTCCCTTATTTACCACTATAACGTCTTAAAGCATAGAACTTAGCAGGGCTAACCATACAGATATCTTTAGCCATAATATTATATAGTTAGTAGTGATGTACCGAACGGTTCGCTGGCGAACGGTTCCCGGCGAACATAGCATGTTCGCGTTCGCCACGGCGGGCGAACATGTGCGCGGTTCGACCCGCCCCCTATTCGTCATCATTGAGTAAACTTTGACCCTGTACCTCACAGTCAGCAGACACATTCCAGCCAATTAGCAGCACACCCTCCCTAGCAGACCCTCCCACCTCCTGGAAGGCATCCATTTTAGATTCATTCTCAAGCTGCATGCTTTAGTAAGAGGAGGGAAAGTGTAGCTGCTGTTCATTAGATAGGGAAAAGCATAGCTAGGTTAGGGTTAGGGTATGCTTTTTTTTTAATTTATTTTTCTATGTAATGTAATTGCACTTAGTTGTCTGCCACTGCTGCCAGCTTCTGTGTCAGGCTCACAGTGCATACTGTGACCATTTCCCCAGTCAGTGCCACCAATTACATCTGGTGTCACAATAGCTTGGATTTAAAAACAAAAAACTTTTTTCACTGTTATAGATTGAATAGCAGTCAGTTGTCTGCCACTGCTGCCAGCTTCTGTGTCAGGCTCACAGTGCATACTGTGCCCATTTCCCCAGTCAGTGCCACCAATTACATCTGGTGTCACAATAGCTTGGATTTAAAAACAAAAAACTTTTTTCACTGTTATAGATTGAATAGCAGTCAGTTGTCTGCCACTGCTGCCAGCTTCTGTGTCAGGCTCACAGTGCATACTGTGCCTATTTCCCCAGTCAGTGCCACCAATTACATCTGGTGTCACAATAGCTTGGATTTAAAAACAAAAAACTTTCTTCACTGTTATAGATTGAATAGCAGTTAGTTATCTTGAAGCAGGTGTGTTACGCTAACAGTGGATACGGTGACCAGTGCCACCACTTAGATCTGGTGTCACAATAGCTTGGATTTAAAAAAAAAACACTTTTTTCACTGTTACAGATTGAATAGCAGTCAGTGTCCTTAAAGCGGGTGTGTTACGCTAACAGTGGATACGGTGACCAGTGCCACCACTTAGATCTGGTGTCACAATAGCTTGGATTTAAAAAAAACCCAATTTTTTCACTGTTATAGATTGAATAGCAGTCAGTGTCCTTAAAGCGGGTGTGTTACGCTAACAGTGGATACGCTGACCAGTGCCACTAATTAGATCTGGTGTC